TGTCCGCTGGAGCATCTGCGCCAACTTGCTCGGAGATTTTCATGCTGAGCTGGAAGAGCAGCAACTTTCTGGTATCTCGAATAAGTCTGGTTCTGGGCAGCAGCAGGATGAAAGGCAATCATACCGCAGTGGGTTGCCCTTGTCATCTAGCTTAACGTGCGTGTCGAGGATACGCAGGTAGAGTGCGGATGCTACGTCTTCCCTCTTTAGTGATTTGAGGAATTTAGCGAAGTGCAGAGGATGCGGGTTCAGGTTTAGTGGGTTATTCTCTTCGTCTCCCTCCATCTCAAGCTTTCCTTCTTGCAAGTCGGCAAGCTGAGTTATGGAGAGTGAAGGGAGTGATACTGATCTACTATCTATGAAAAGACAGCTGATGTTGAAGAACTGTCATGGGCCTACCTTCGAAAGACACGCAGCTCGGCGTTATTGTCAACGTCCCATTCTCCACCATTACCCTCAACAATCTTCCACAGTGCGTCTACGACTTCACGCTTTTCAGCCGCTCGTGCCCAGATATTCAACAGACCCTCAATCGTCGAGCGCATCACCGGGTCAGCTATTCGGCTCAGGCGGTAGTATTCGAGGAGTGCATATAGCTGAGGCGTGATGGGCTGTAGAAGGACGTCGATTAGTTCTGGCGATGGGTCTGTGTTCATGAGGATCGTTGAGAGCGTTGGCACCGCTTGAGAGGGTGGTAGCACGAGAGCATTCTTGGCAATTGACTGAGCCTTTGATAATTGATCTTCTGACGCAAATGTGGGTGAAGCGTCCTTCTTCACCTCGGCCAAGGAGACAGCAACGGATGATGGGCGCGAGACAGGCTGGAAAGAGTCTAGTAAACACCATCCTATGACACTCTGCCGAATATCAGGTCTAGCTTTGTCATCTTCGTCTTTGCGTGTTGTCAACATTCTCGACAATGCAAATGCAGCAGCACGCCTATGAGATGGAGGTGTCATATTGTCCATACCCGGGCTTAAGAGGTGCAATAGACGTGGGATCATTATCGGGTAGTATTGCTGTAATACAACGTAATGATACGTTAGTTGAACTTTCGATAAAATTCCCTGGTCATTGTTATGAAGGTATGAAAACGAACCTCGGGTGGAAAGTTACGAGGTAGAGCATTGAGAACATCTGAAGTTGACTGAAGTTCCTCTAGAGGAGCTTCTGAAGAAGAAACATCCTCGCCGAAGACAGAAGAGAACAAACCCGCAACACCATCAGGTCGTAGAAGCTGCTCGGTGAGAAGGATTTTACAAATTCTCGATATGTATAATGGTTTGGTATGCTTCCTCATAATTGAGCCAAGTGCTGTCATCGACTGAGCAGGTGGAAAGCTGCATTTAATTACCGGCTTATTCAGTCCGATCCCCGGAGTAAAATGAGGATATGAGCCTACCCATTTGAGAGTCGCGATACGAACGGCTTGAGATTCAGTGCTGATGGGATGTCGCTCCGCACATCATTAGGTAACCACCCGAGGCAGATGCAAGACCTCAACAGATCGGCAAATCCATGATTCAGCACTGTCAACGCGACGTGTGTTGTAGCCGAAGGGCATAATGGGCCCTCTGGTAGTATGATATTCAGCAAGCGGTTCGTAATCTCGAAGAGAAGTGTAAAGTCTTCATTCGCAGTCGTAAGGTCGATGATATGCGCGTCTGGCGGAACACCGCTTGAGCGCACCGGCTTTTTGGTTACTGTCGGTAAAGCTCGAGAGAGGAGTGGATCTATTCCCCAGTTGAATACGATAGAAAGGAGCGTTTGAAGCTGTGAAAGGTCCTTCATGCCTATCTGAGGCGAGGACTGAGAATCCTTGGCATTTCCTGCCTCGCCATTTGCGAGGATAGTATGAACGCGTTCAAGTACGTGGAGCGACGCAAAAGCAGTTTCCAGTTGTAGACTTTGAAGTTCTAAAGGACGTTCGCGGGAGACACCATCAAGAATGGCATCAAATTTTCCAAGTCGAGAACGAAGCACATCCGGAAGACCATTGGGATTAGGTACTTTGTTTTCAGATGAGTCGCTGCCAGAAATGACAGTACCAGCTTTCAATACAAGATTCAAAGGGGCAGAGTCAGGCCAGGAACGATCAAGTTGGTAGAAGGACATTATGCACGTTCTGTCAATGTAGAGTCTCGTTGAGAACGTAAGAGCAGCACGTTGGAACTTAAGAGAAGTGCATGACTGCGAGCGAAAGTCCTTGCACGCGTCATGACGTTGCGGAATTCCAAGCCACGCCGATCATTACTCACATCATTACGTAAACGTAATTGTCAAGTTTCCGAAGTCGTCAACTCGAGTTGAAAGCACGCCATGGCTTTCATGCACGGAACAATTCCATTAGCGGTGTTTGTGGATTTACATCCGTGATGTAGGCGCTTGCGCCACCGACGCGTCGGGAATCGCATTTTCTGGATGTCATTGAACGCGAAAAACGATGGTTTTGAATTTGGCGTGCCGGTCCGGCTGATGTATTGTTATTTATCTTCACGTATTTACGCTCACGGAGTCATTTAGCTGCTTACTCACACAGGCTATCTAAAGAGGTAGGAAGACACGCTTGCTATCGCTGCGCGGTACTCGTGTGCCCTTCCCCCCTCGTCCTATCCCCCCAACATACGGCTTGGAAAACCTCTGTTAACTCCAGTGAATTCTAGCCTTCAAGATGACGGACATGAACGATAAACTCCCAAAGGCAATAGACCTTTCTCACCATCTTTCTGAATTATCGAAAGCTAGGCAGACGTCCCCGCTCAAGGGACTTGCAAAGTATTTCGGCCAGCCAGGTATCATCAGTCTCGCTGGGGGAATGCCTGCGCCAGCATACTTCCCTCTATCGACGTTGTCTGGCGAAATGCTCGTTCCCGACTCATTCGCAACTGTACCGGCGAATTCCTCGGATTCGGGCTTATCATGGTTCTGGCGGCTCTTTTCGTCCAACAAGAAAGAGCGCACAGAACACATGTCAATACCGAAGTACACCTCCGCAAAACCTTCAGAGGAGATATCGCTCGACGTCGCACTTCAATACGGGACGGCGCAGGGACTTATCCCACTCCAGAACTTCATGCGTGAATTCACCAAGCGCGTGTATCGGCCGCAATACGCGGACTTTACTACGCTCGTGCATGCTGGTAATACTGATGGATGGGGTAAAGCCATGCAGACTCTATGCAATCCTGGGGAAAAGTTCTTAACGGAGGAATGGACTTATCCGTCGGCACTCGCGTCAGCGAGACCATACGGCGTCATGCCTGTCGCTATCAAAATTGATAATGAAGGTATGCGCAGTGATGATCTACGCAAGGTTTTGGAGGAGTGGGATGAGGAAGCTCGAGGTGCGAAGAGGCCTCATTTGATGTATACTGTGCCTGTTGGTCAGAATCCAACTGGTGCCGTGAGTGTTAACTACTTGTTTGAAAATAAAAGCTTAAGATTGTTTCCTTAGACTATGGGCGCGACTAGAAAGAAGGAGATATACAATCTCTGTATAGAATTCGGTGAGCACGCTTAAATTATGTACAAGCATACATATCTTATAAATTATGTTATATACTAAATTCAGATATTATTATCGTCGAGGATGACCCATACTATTTCTTACAGCAGGGTCCCTACATCCCGAAGGGCACCCGAAACTACCTGGCATCACTGGAGTTGAAGTCAAGGGACGAAGCCTCCGAGTTCATCGCTAGCCTTGTACCATCTTACCTCAAATTTGATTACCAAGGACGTGTAATCCGGTTAGATAGTTTCTCAAAGACCATCGCCCCAGGTTCACGACTAGGTTGGTTCACATGCAATGAACGCTTCGCAGAACGCCTCGAACGACAAGGCGAGACGTCGACGCAAGCTCCATGTGGTTTCGGTCAGTCAATTATCACGCAGCTCTTGACGAAACAATGGGGTTTCCGGGGATACGTACGCTGGCTGCGCGGACTTCGCGCAGAATACACGCAACGCCGTGATTTCTTCATTGACGAGTTAATGGAGTACTTCGATATTCGGCCTATGTACGTAGCGCAGGGCTCTTGGGCAGGATGCACGGCACTTGTTGCTCGTCCACGTACTCGCTCTCAGAGTCGTGCAAACAACGTGTCGTCGGAGAAGCAAGACTTTGCATTTGGCGAGAAGCCGATATTCAGTCTTGTTCCGCCGTCTTCGGGAATGTTCGTATGGGTACGCACTTCTTTCTTCCTTTCCGAGACAAACGTTCGCTAAACAACCTCGACTACGTTTGCAGCTGAAGATCCACTTCGAGAACCACCCATCATTCAGAGCCCCAGAAGATAAAGCAACTCTCGAAGTCAAGCTTTGGACGAAAATTGCAGACTCAGGCGTACTCATCGGGCCAGGATGGATGTTTGCCGCAACGGACGAAATCCAACAAGAGGCCGAGGGCCATTTCCGTATTGCTTTTAGTAACGCTGAGGTATGTTCCGCTTATGTCTTTTCTGCTAGTGCAAGTACTAAAGATAAATACTTTGTCTAGTACGACGTTATGAAGAAGGCAATACAGGTTATGCATGACGTTCTCTTGGATTTCTTTGAATACCATTGAAATCTTCCATACCATATCGATTTCATTTCGTTGTTGCGGAGCTTTTTGGTTTTTCGATCAATAGACAGAGTAATATGTATGCTAGATATACGACATGTATCATTTCTTGTATCTAGTTGTTCTGGTAGAAATAAATCTTGGCAGTATAAGTTGTGGAAACGGATATGACAGTCACTGCATGGCTAACGTGGATATCAAAAATGAAATCAACTCGAAGGACATCTGCTTCCATTACATTTTACATATTTGCAGAAGAAATAAGGCTGGCTACACTTGCAATTAAAAGAACTCTACAAAAATAGTTAATCATGTAGAGTTTATGACCACCGCAGGGCTCGAACCTGCAATCTCCTGATTACTTTAAACATGGGTGATGGTATTCCATCGTAGTCAGACGCGATACCATTTCGCCAGGCGGCCAGCATTCATTTTCCCAGAACAAAAAGAACTAAATCATCATTAACTAATTATACATAACCAAAAAGCACATCAAATACTAATACTCTCTCACACGCTCATTTCATTTTCACTTAATTATTGTTAATACTATTAATTCAATATAATCATTCAGTTTTAGATATGTCTGTCTTGCCTAAGTCGAATGTGATTTTATATTTTAGGAAAGACGAAGGAATGGCCGCCTGGCGAAATGGTATCGCGTCTGACTACGATAGGTTGTAAACAAGTTGGTAATCAGGAGATTGCAGGTTCGAGCCCTGCGGTGGTCATCAATATATCTTGGAAGTTTTTTCCCCTTCCTACAATAATTTCTCACTCTCATCAAAATATGTGTTCCAAGTGCTAATTAATCTGTAATCATGTTTCATGATAGAGAATTCGATATACACACATAACTATGCTCATTATTATATTTGGTATTGAATGGAATTGATACGCGTGCATCCTAGCTCTCCAATAGCTTATAAGAACAAAACAGAAATGCAGGAGAATCGATTTATTTCTGTGTCAGAAAAGTGTACAGCGAACGAATTCACATAATCTATGAAAAAATGCAAGTACGTATGTAATATGTACATCAAAGCAAAAAAGCAAGCAGGCATTCGCATAATACGTGTACTCAAGTTGTATTCGAGTGTATGAATGAGAATGAATGAATGGGCTAGAATGGAATTATGCACGTAACCCAACAGCAGCAGGAACGGGAGCTGCCGCACGGTCTGCTGGACTGGGTCTAGATAACATCCCACTTCCTCCGGAGTTTGAACTTGAATTCGCACTGGTATTTGACGAAACGGAAGGGGAAGAGGTAGGGTTGGTTGAGTGTTTCCTTGCCGCGCGAGCTCTGTTCTTTGCTGTTTTTCGTTTAGCTGGAGAGGGCGGTGGGGAGGGAGTGGAAGGGATCGGAGAGGGTGTAGGTGATGGTGTACGGGGTGTTTGAATTTGTGTCGGACGTTGGCCGTTTTGAGGTTGAGGTTGAGAAGAGGATGAAGAAGGCAGAGAAGCAGGGTTGGTTGAATTTCGTACAGGCGAGGACAAGCTCTTCTCCTTCTCTGTGTCTCGACGCGGATTCGACATAGCATCGGGACCGGGACCAGGACTCGGCGTACGCGGGGGAGAAGGCAAAGGTAACTCCACTTTGACAATACTCTCCGATAACAACGATACGGAATCCAAATCAACTTCACCAGTTCCTACTTGTCGCGCATCCCCGTCCAGCTCGTTCGAGGGACAGTTCGGAAGAGATAGAGGGATTGCTGACCCATTTCCATCAGGCTTGCTTCCGTTCTCTGTGCTGTGTGTAAATCGGATCGAGTCGATCGTCGGTTTCGAGCCCTCCAACGACGCTCCGTCTCCTTCCTCGTTCTTTGTCACTTCATCTTTCTTATCCTCTTCATTTACCAGCACTTCCTCCTCCTTTCCTTTCCCCTTCCCCTTCCCCTTCCCCTTCTCGCTTTCATTCTCCTTGCCTTTCACCCTCTCTTCAACCTCCCGACTCCTCTCCCTCCTCCCCGCAGTCGTCCTCCTAACAACTCTCGGCCTAACAGTCTTCTCTCTATCTCTCCATCCACTCCCCGATCCACTCCAGCTACTACTCACACTGGAACTCACACTTGCAGCCCTCTCGGAAGCAGAGATGGAAGAGGGAATTGAGATGGACGAGGAAGGGGAAGGGGAAGAGTTGGTTGAAGAAGAGAGCACGTCCGCGGGTCGAACAGTCTCTTCAGAACTCCTCGGTGTCCCGCGTGCATTAGCGTTGGAATTGTGAAGGTGTAAGTGTTGGTATATACTTCCCAACCCTCTACCACCACCACCACCACCACCAAATCCAACTCCGCTTGGATGTCCAATCCCGTCTATTCGAATACTCGAACTCGGCACCGTGCTAGCGTTTTGCAGTTGTTGATAGGGATAGGACTGGGGAAGTCCAAATGCTGAACTCGGATGACTCTGATTTTGAACCTGCACTCTTTCATAAAACAACAAGAAGGCGCCGCTCCCCTCCGCTAACACACGTTCCATTCCACATTCTTCAACGGCGTCGTCGCTTATTCGGAGCCATCCTTTCCCAGGTTTAGGTGGACGGTACGTCGGGAGTTTTGCTTCACAATCGGTATTGTCAGAGGTGGAGGAGCTGGTTGGAGAATCGCGAACAGGTCCGTACGTCGTACATAACGTACACTCACACCCATACGGACAAGGCATCTGCGGTACACTCGGTTGTCCCATCTTCGCCGTCCCACTCGTCCAAGAACCTTTTCTACTAACCCTCGGCTTCCTCCGAAAACAAACATAATGCCCAAACGAATGCGCACCATAATGCGCCACCACCGCACTCAACCTATACAACACTCTCGGCGTCGTATATAACCCCTGTGTAGGCGTCGTACTCCGCGGAATGCTCAAGACAGTCGGTGGTGGCGGGGGAGAGATAGGAGAGGAAGGCGCGGTGCAGAGTTGGCCTGAGGTTGTATATGGTGTTAAGTCTAGGATTTCTGGGAAGAGTACGCGGATTGGGTTGCGTGAGGAGTAAGGACCGCCGAAGTGGAGGGAGCGGTTTAGGTGGAGGACGAGGATCTTCGGTGGCTGCGAACATCACATACATATAATTAACATTAATATTGACCGAATATACAGAAAGATAAATGAAATAAAACACGCACTCTCGCAATCATAGCCTGCTTCGTCGACGCAGAACTAATCACCCTCTCCATCTTAACACCCCTAATATCCTCCTCAATCCTTCCTGCCTCAATAGCAGCACTAACAAGCTTCTCCATCCTCCTCGCCTCCCTCGCTTTCTTCTTCTTATACTGACTCGTCGCAGACGGTCCACCAGCACGCGTCACCTCAGCCAAACGCTCCGCCTCCTCGCGTACCCGAGCATAAGTCGCGCGCATCGAACATCGTCGACATACACAGTCCGTTAATAACTCCAGTCTTGTATATTCGGAAAGACATTCTTGTAAAGCACAGGACCCGCCGAACCCTGCTGCGGGTAATGCTAACGACCACGTCGCGAACGCAAAATGCATTACCGCCTCTGTATATCCGCACGCGACGCAGCTTCTTCGATTCGCAGTTAAGCCGTCAAACACACCCGTTGAACTCAATTCTACCTCTCCATCGTCTGTGCCCCTTAACGTCGACGACGACGATAATGACGAAGATGATGAAGCAGAGGAGGAAGACGAAGCAAACGAGCCGAGTCCACGATCCCGCTGAGCCTCAGCGTCGACAGCCTGCGCCTCACTCTTGATACACTCCGAAAGCAGCTGAAAGAGCTCTTGCGCATCTTGATGTTCTCTCGATGCGAAGAGCTTCGAACGGCCGCGCGTGCCCGGCGCTGGCTGCGATAGTGCGTTGATCATCGGTACAGGCCGGAGAGAAGAGCGAGACGACTTGGGTGTGTTCAGCGCTGGAACGAAAGAGAAGAAATTAGTTAGGATATATTTATGCTCGGCAAAGAGAAGAAGTGGCAGGAAGAAGTGGGAAGAACGGCCTCGTTCGGTGAGTGCGTGGAAGGGATTACACACCTTGGAGAGTTCCTTGGAGGGTGTCGACGACGGGAGTGGGTACGTCTAAGTCAACAGCGCGTGTGTGGATTGCGTCGAGGTACGGCTGGAGATATGCCAGGGACGCCGTAGCCTTTTCGCGGCGTAACGTCATTATTATCTACTATTCAATATCGGTGTAGATACACTATACGTACCTGCAGCACGGAATTGAGAAAGCAGTATGTCCCAGAGATATTGACAAGCCCGGGATAGTACAAGTCTTCATCGTCATCCGACTCTTCCGACTCCTTGTCTGGCACTTCTATCCACACACCACACGTCAGAGCCTCCCACTCGACGACCGACAAAGAGGCAGACAAACATACCTGTAGACTGACTACTCCTACGTTTCCTCCACCCCTTCTCCTTCCTCTTCTTTCTCTTCTCCTTATCGTCCCCAGCTTTGCCTTCACCGCTATTAGCATCTGCGTTACCAGAACCAGCGCCCCATCCCCACGGGAGCGGAATCGCGACGCCAAAGACTGTCTCAAGGACCATACACACAAACCACACTAACTTTCCTCCCAAACGCCGAACAGCAGATCCACTCGTGCGCCGCCGAGCACAATGGAGGAAGAACAGCGCAAGCGCAGGGAGTCCGAGAAGGACAAGTAGGGGCGCAACTTGCACTAGCAGGTACAAATAAAAACCCGCGTTGTTCGAGCTATACTTGTTGGAGTATGCGTATGAGTACTCGGATGATGAATATGAATTAAAGTGAGCGGAAAGAGGGGAGAGCCGAGCGAGGAGGGTACGGAAGCGGTCTTGCATGTAATAGAGTAACAAGTACAGGACATCGCTGGGTCAGCGTGATTACCCGAGCAGCTGCTCACGAGTCCTGTACTGCCACGCCTCATTGTCAATTATTAATAAAAACCACATTTGATTGCCTGTCCTTTGTACATACAACTACCTCATCGGACAACATATCAAGGGATGACAAGCCAAGACGAGGGATATTGTAGGGGAACCTGTGCGCTTGACGCAGGATGTACAGGGTAAACAGCAGGGACCACCTCCAAGCAGCAGAAAATCCAAATGCCAAACAAAACAAAACGACGGAAGTAGGAAAAAGGAAAGAAAATAGTAAAAGAAAGCATAAGCAGTCAAGCTAGACTTTTATTGTACAGCGTATGCATTTGCAAGAAATCCGGTTCGCCACGAGACCAGAAACCATTGACCAGGGGACGGGATGAGTCGACGGAAGATGACGGGATCGCTGATCACCAGTAAATTGTCCTCTCGACCGTACGGTGTTTCGCCGGATTGCTATACGAAATTGTCCGCCGCACTCGTCGCACATTCGGGTACCACGTCTTGTACACTTCACCCGGCTCAAATTGTACCTCTACCACTTGTCGACCCTACATCACCTCAACGGTAAGTAACACGTATCGCTAGAACTGAAAGAGAGGACGTACGGCGTAGTCGATGCTAGAACCAATGACGAGGCCTTCCTTACGTCCGTACATGCCATGGTTGACCGCAACGATGTCTCCAGGCTGTATCACCAACCCACCGTGTTTAAAGTTATTAGCACTTCATATCCACACTCATGATGATCGCCTCACACGAGGACGACACGAAATACTCACATGAATCTCGTCGTCGCTGCTCATCTTTCCTTGTTAATCAATCAGGTGTTCAGATACTTAGGCGCTGTTTGGTCTCGAGGTTAGGATAGGGTAGTTGCAGGGATACAACACGAGAGACGAGGGTCGACAACAGCAATAGAAAGTCAAGATGGAGGGAAACGAAGAGCTCGCAGACAACTCCGATTTTATAGGGAATAGTACAGCGGGCAAGGGCCTAGCCGTGTGCAGGGAGCGTGGTAGCAACGAGGCTGCTTACTCTGATGCTTCCAAGTACAAATCAATCAATCCCTTCCCGGTGTACAAATAAAAACAAAGTATCGAGCGAATGCCTTGCTACGTTTTTCATATTGTCAGTGTTCGTCTTCTTTTTCGTTGAGCAATTAAACTTTGTTAGAGTTCCAGTTAATTAGGTGCATATATTCTGGCTTTTACGGGGTGTAAGGGAGTTTTGGTGATCGACGACGGACGCAAATAGATTTGCACATATTTGTACACACCCTCGGAATCTTTGTCGCCCTAATTGTCCATCCAATCCCATCCTGCTGCAGAGAAAGGTGAATCACTGCCACTTAAAATGAAAGATGAAGATCCGAGCAGTGCTGTGACTAATTGTTTTTGTTAGTGCATACAGTGAAGTAAGGATACAAAATTCTACTTCTAAATTCTGTTAATGCGCTACAGTCAGTCAAGTCCGAAGAGTGTTAGCAACCCAGGAACATAACGTCTCCCAAATACCCATTCCCTTCCTCTTGTTTCCAACTCTTCCATTTCCTGCTCCGGTGCCGCCGCCACCGCTACCAACACCGCCCCATTCATCCTCATCCCGCCCTCCATTCATCCCATTTACTTTTCCACCTGTAACTTCACCCTTCCTCAACCTCTCCCTCACACCCTCAAGCACATCCTCTGCACAAGCCCAATACACCCTCTCCAACTCCGCCTCCTTCACGAAATATGGCTTGCGCACCGAATATGGCGCAACACCATTATACCTCCTTACCACTTCGTTTACTTCTCCCAGTGCGGAGGCGTGGTAATTTGATTCGCGATTTACCCAGTTCGTATCTCGGATGGATCGGATATCTTCGAGGGTGAGTGAGGAGAGCCTTGAGAGAGGGAGGCGAGAAGTTAAGTGAAGGATCAGACGACGGGTCCAGGTTTGTTGAAGGAGGGTTCGGAAGGTTTGGATCGCAGTTTCGACTTCTACATTAATGAAAATCTGAAGTCAGAAATTATATTCTCAAAGTGCAATATTACGTTAAATAAAATGAAATTAAAATACGAACCTGCTTGTAACTCAACCCACGGCGGTGCAGCCTGGTTCCTCTGCACAATTCGATTCATCAGAAACTCTTCCCGTGCAATGAACGGGTTCCTCTCCTCCATTTCTCGTTCAAGTGGCTTCCCCCGTCCTTTTATAGTCTTGAATTGTCCTTGTAAACGTGCACGTTCGATTCGTTCTTCGACAAGGCTTGCCCAGGCTTTCATACCAACAGGCATGTGACGCCTCCCTTGTCCATGTCCATGTCCATGTCCTTCTCTGCTTCCTTGTCGAGCGAGACCAAGTCGGTAATCGAGTGTAGACTCTCGAGCGCGTCCGAGGCGTTGAGCATTTGCGTTTCGTCGAGCTGCACTGATGTCTTGTTTGATTGGTTCATCACCATCTAAAGAGAGGGTGGAACGACGAGCGCTGGAAGGTGCGAAGGTCCCTGTTTTTATACGTGCACTGGAGGGAGGGGTGAATGTTGTGTGCCAGGGTCTGTGTCCTTCAACTGCAGGGAGGAGAGGCTCTGAGGCGCGGGTTTGCCAGTTTGGATGGTACTCTACAGAGGAAATTGATGCTGTTTGTGATATTGAGGGATCCCCTTCGTCTTCATATACAGGAGCAAAGGTTGAAGGAGGAGATGATTGAACGACAGGTGGCCTCTCCTTCAACTTCTCATCTGCATTCTTCACAGTAGGACCTCGAAGAGGCTTGTATTTGTCCACGAGCATTCGAAGTACTGCATCTTGTATCCTTTCCTCACCATCCCAGTTTACTTCTTGAGTGTGAGATTTGACAAGACGGGCCACTCGCTCAGATGTGTTGGAGTTTGAGAAAGAGGATTCTTCGAGGAAAGCGTCGACGAAGAGTTTTGCACTGCCTGTGTTTATGGCTGGTCTACTAGCGGTCTTTGAGCTGCTTGATGGGTCGCTTGTACGTTCGACCTGAGACTGTTCCTCGGCATGAGTATCAGCACTGGAAGCTTGAGACTCGTTTGCCTGGGAAGAGATGAAGCGTCGACTATCCGTTGGTATTAGGATCCTAGCTTTCAGCTTTGGAGGCCTAGCCATCTTCGAGAAAGGTATGGCCGGCATAGGAACTGAGGAGAGCAAGACAATTAGGGAAGTTGTGAGAGCTTGAAGACATTCCGCAGGTAGGACACGGGCGTAAGGTGTGGAGAGGACGCATGACAAAGACTTTCCTTACAAGACAAATTTTGATCACGTGTAACATTTGAATTTTCGCAAGATGGCTATGACGAAGTCGCCTAATTACTTCGATCTCCTATTCATTTAGAATCAATTCCGGCTGCTGGCGGCTCACACAGGACTTAATGATGATCACCATTGTGGGATGTGCAATCACAACCTCGGTAGATCGTCGACACAGCGCAGTCAACCAAACAAGGACGACTCAGGACAAGGTCTCTTAACTTGGCACTGCTACGGTGCTACCTCGCCACACGATCCTCCTTTGATGCTATCGACGCCCTGACTGACTCGTTGCTATCATAGCCTCATATTTAAGACTTACTGGAGGTACTGCTGCTGTGTCACTTCAACTGAGGTCGAGGCTAATGTCGACATTCCGGTTGGAGAGTAACCGAGGATACTAATAAACTTTCTGCTGGCTGGGATACATGTGTGTAAAGTTTTGCTTGGCTCGTGTCTTTCTATATCACATCCAGACCTATTGCTGCTGACTTGTGGAGTTTGAGGAGCTAATAGACAAATTTCACGGATGCACACGGAATTATAGGCGGACGTTCCGGTGTGAAATGTACCAAGCTAGAAGCGCAGTGTCCGAGATTGTCTTTGCCTGAGCGCTCATCTGGTTGGAAAATGTTTCGGAATTGCAAAAAGCGTACCAACTGCGGCCCAGCAACGTCTTTTAGTCGTCGCATACCTTGTGCCGCGGGAAACGTTTAAGTGGCGTCTGGATCCGTGATGCTCGTTTTCGGCATGGGCTGGTTTTAAACACAGGAGCTGGCTACATATGGCTCAGCTTCATAAAACACTATCGGTCTGGCGGCCATTTCGGTTAGTTGCGTTGTGCCACCTCACTTACCACTTACCACCAGCCAACGATCGCCATTGCGAAGCCAAAATGCAGGACTACGAACCGTTCAACGCTCCTGATGCAGACGTTGTGCTCCAGACATGCGATGGAGTCCGCTTTGGCGTATATCGCCGTATACTGGCGGAGGCGTCACCGTTCTTCAGGGATATGTTCTCTTTACCACAGTCTGGGACGGAGGAAGGTGGCACTGTACCTGTTGTTGAAGTTTCCGAGACGGCTGAAGTCATGGGCACGTTGCTCAAGCTCGTGTACCCCGGAGTGGGCCCAGAAATAAAGACTCTCGACGAAGTTTCGATGGTATTGGGCGCCGCAATGAAGTATGATATGCTGAGGGCTATTGAGACTCTACGTCGCCTCTTGATTACTCCTTCCTTCGTCGAAAAGGAACCAACACGCGTATATGCGATTGCATGCCGCTACGACCTCGAATCCGAAGCACGCGTCGCATCCTCTTATACACTTCGTATCAACGTACTCGACGGTCCACTCTCAGACGACCTCAAATATATAACTGCATGGTCATATCACCGACTACTGGATCTCCACAGACGACGTGCCGATGCAGCGTTACGTGTACTTGAGTCTGCAGTACTTGAGGATGTGAAATGTATGCAGTGCAACTCAGCGCATTATGGTAGCTTGTGTCCGCCTCGCTGGTGGACGGAGTTTGTCGGAAAAGCGAAGGAGGAACTACGAGCAAGACCGACGACGGATGTGGTATTTTCGATGGCGTTTCTCGCAGCATCAGGTCGGACGGGCTGTCAACGTTGTTCAGGATCGATATTGGAGTCGTATGCGTTCCTTGAGGGGCTGAAGAAGCGCATTGACGAGCTTCCCGCGATGATTTAGACACGTTCTTTTGGTTCTTTTGGTTTCTGGGTCTAGTGTATGACATCGGCAATCTCGACGAGCTTTCAATGATCGATTTCATGACTACACGATAGAAGTTTTCTCTTTCCTTTTAATCTTGGTTTATGTAGCATCCGGTGTACTGTATTCGGATAATTCCGCGGCCTTTTGTATAGTTTATCCAATAGTAGAAGTTGTTTACCCATATTTTCCGACGCGCCGCGTCTCCGAACCCAAGGCGCACATGTGCTTATGTTCCACTCACCAAGCTCCGATGCACCGACATTCATTCTTCGTCTCAACCACCATCATCTTCATCGAGTCTAAGTTTGCAGATATTGACAAAAGATGAACGCACAGTTAGCTACGTTCAAGTCTCCTGCTGTCGAGAATGAGCCTATGGTAAGCATTTAGAATAAACTAGGATGGGTATTCTATGTCCGGATTAGAAGTTGCTGACTATCGATTATCGTAGAGGCACTATGCGCCTGGCTCTGAGGAGCGGCTCGGTCTTGAAGCAGCATTGAAACAAATACAGCAAGAACTTCCCTTTGAAGTGCCGTGCATAATCAACGGAAAGCCTGTGAGTAGTCATCAGCTTGCTGACTGTATGCACCTCATTTCTCGTCATTTATGGACGAAATGTTATAGGTAAAAACAGGAAAGCTTGCAAAGCAATCTCTCCCAGGTTCACACGCCAAGCACCTGTGCGAATACCATGAGGCGGATGAGGCTACTGTTGCAGCCGCAATTGAAGGTGCGCTTGCTGCGAAGGCGGGATGGGAGTCGATGCCTTGGGCGGATCGTGCTGCGATTTTCTTGAAAGCAGCGGATTTGGTATCGGAGAAATATAGATATAAGTTGATGGCTGCGACGATGCTTGGACAGGGGAAGACTGCATGGCAAGCGGAGATTGATGCCGCTGCTGAGGTTCGTTAATTGTACCCTTCCTTTTCTTTAAAGATGGAGTGGGCTGATATTTGTGGCAATGGATGATGATGTAGCTTGTGGATTTCTTCCGATTTGGAGTCAAGTATGTTGAGGAGTTGTATCAACAACAACCGATTAAGAACTCCAAGGGTGTTTGGAAGTACGTACTACTTGATACATCTCCGAGCGTCCTATTAACATTATCTTGATCCAATCTTACTGTCCAGTCGCGTTGAGTACCGACCTTTGGAAGGTTTCGTTCTTGCCGTCTCGCCGTTCAACTTTACTGCTATTGGCGGAAACCTAGCTGGAGGTCCGTTCTCTTCTATTCCACTCATCCAAAGAAGTCTAACATTTGACTAACTAAATCGTACGAATCAACCATAGCCCCGGCACTCGTTGGAAACGTCGTAGTCTGGAAACCCTCACCAATGGCGACTTATGCAAACTACCTCACCTATCAGATTCTTGTCGAAGCAGGCTTGCCACCTGGTGTCATCCAGTTCACACCCGGACCGCCACCCGAGGTCGTGAAGCAGTGCATATCACATCGTGACTTTGCTGCACTACACTTTACGGGAAGTACACATGTGTTCCGTAGCTTGTGGAAAGACATTGCAGCGAATTTGGATAAATATAGGGGGTATCCGAGGATCGTTGGTGAGACGGGTAAGTACTTTCCTATTAGATATTTTATTGGATTGAAAAAGGAGCCGACTGACTGATTTGTGGAATTCATTCCTGTCCTTGATAATATGATCGGACTGATATAGGTGGGAAGAACTTCCATGTCGTACACGAGTCGGCGGACCTAACGAATGCTGTCATGCAATCTGTCCGTGGCGCATTCGAGTACCAAGGTGAGCTCTATCAACACCCTATCCAATCTTCCTCTAACGTCACTCTTTGCGACACGCAGGCCAGAAATGTTCAGCTCTCTCCCGTCTCTACGTATCCTCCTCTCTTTGGTCCAATGGCTTCAAAGACAAGCTCCTCCAGGAAGTTGCTAAGATTAAGGTCGGCTCTGTCACGGACTTCTCGAACTTCATGGGCCCTGTCATGTATGTATTCTTCTTCTCACTCTAGTCTTTTCATTTCCGAGAGATGCCGTGAGCAGAAGCTGAATGTATGCTCTTTTTTCCCCCATTGGTTCTGGACTTGGATATCTTGGATATGAAATCGTAGTGGACGGCCCGCGTTTGATAAGATTACTGGATACATCCAGAAGGCGAAGGATGCCGGTGGGGAAATCCTCATCGGAGGGAGCGGTATGTCATCGACCTTTTTCTCCACTACTCAATATTGAAGGGAGTCTGACAAACAACTGACATACGAATGAATATTTTTAGCCGATGACTCTTCGGGTTTCTTTATCCAGCCTACAGTTATTCTGAGCAAGGACCCCAAGTCTGTTACTTTCGTTGAGGAGATATTTGGACCTGTACTATCTGTGAGTAGTCATTCTAGTTCCTCCGTCACATTCAATGTTTCGTGATATATGTTTGGGTTTACTCGATATATGCATGATTTCATAGGTATACGTGTTCGATGATAAAGACTTCGACGCGACGCTCGATCTCGTCGACTCCACAAGCCAATACGGTCTAACAGGTTCAATGTACGTCTCTTCCATCCTTCTCTTTCCTCCCCCTCATCCACATCACGCGATTTAATCAATCCTCTCCATCAGCTTCGCATCCGACCGCAGCGCACTCCTCCACGCATCAAACCGTCTTCGCAACGCAGCAGGTAACGTCTACTACAACGAAAAATGCACAGGCGCCGTAGTAGGTCAACAACCCTTCGGTGGTGCACGGGCGAGTGGGACAAACGATAAGGCTGGGAGCATGGGCTTGTTTTATAGGTTTGTGAGTGCGAGGAGTGTCAAGGAGAATTTCGTGGGTCTTGAGGACTTTGGGTATCCGTCGAATTTGGTTTGAGTGTTTTGAATGATGATTGGGAGTGAGGGTGAGCAAGGTGACATCTTGGCTTGGAAAAAGAAAGGATGATTGTAAATTGGTGATCTGCATATTTTGTATTGATGTTTTGGGAAATAAAAATTCGACGTCCCTGTTCACAATTGAGTTATGCTAGCAAATAGCTATGGATCAGTAGCCCACAAAAGCTACTGGATTGGAGATTGTGTTTAAAAGAATGATTCAACAGATTTGTAAAAGAGTAGATTCAGCAGGCAATTACCTAAGTAGGCCTTTTCACTTTGGTGATTCTACTAATTTCTAGACACACAAATTTGGATTGATCAGCAGTTTCTTACAAGGTGGCTGAAGAGCTTTGCTTTGCTTGCTACAGACACTAGAATCCAAAACCCTTGCAGGCTTCCCAATTGCAGGCTCACCATAGACAATATTGTCTAACTTAACCTGCCAAATGCTGAAATCACACAACAAAAAGGCTGCTGAGTCATGGCTCAACTGCTTCTGTAATTAAAATGAGAACAATGGCCAAGAAACGTTGACATATATGACATAGAGTGTAGGAGTGGTATGTGATTATACCCATGAGAAATACTATCAGTACATTGGGTGGTATCAAACAAATGCTCAAAAGATATAGCGAAACAAAAAAGGGGGAAGATAACGAAAACAAGTCTAACGGAAATCGACAGGTGGAACCCACTCAGGTATCTTCCCCCACTCAAAGCGCGGAGCGGCAAACGCTTCCTTCACAGATGCAGGTAACTTGTCCGCGTAATCTCGTGGCAATAGCCCATCATGTTTGTCATTCCCAGGCTCAACCTTTATTGCAGCAAGCGCTGCTGCGAAATCCGGAGGACCAACTTTCGGTTTTGGTGGTAAACCAGCTGCAGCAAAACCACTTGTTCCAGCTCCAGCCCCGCCGAATGCAGATACGGGCTGTGAAGACCGACCAAAAGCAGATGAAGAAGTCTGCCCAAAGGCTGATGGTGCACTAGGAGTTCCGAAAGCCGATGTTGTTGGTGCTGCGGCAGCATTGGTCCCAGTACCGCCGAACGCTGATTGTCCGAAATCAGGAGCTTGAGGTTGTTGCGCCCCAGCACCGAAGGCAGAAGTTCCACCACCAGCGAATGCAGAGAATCCTCCACCAGCACTGCTTCCGAAGCCAGTTGCAGGCTTTATAAAGGACGATTGCGGTTGTGAAGTCTGACCGAATCCCGACGTTGAAGCTTGTGCAGGTTGTCCGAATGCTGAAGTAGTCGGGACTGGTTGTCCAAAAGCCGAAGTCGTTTGTGAAGGCTGACCGAACGCAGAGACAGGTTTTGACGGTTGGCCGAATGCAGATTGGCCAAAGGAAGGCTGCCCAAATGCCGACGCCGAAGTAGATGAGCTAAAGGCCGATGTGGGAGCAGAAGTTGAAGCACCAAATGCCGCTTCATATACAGGAGCAAAGGTGAAGGAGGAGATGATTGAACGACAGGTGATCTCTCCTTCAACTTCTCATCTGCACTCTTTACAGTAGGACCTCGAAGGGGCTTGTATTTATCCACAAGCATTCGAAGTACTGCATCTTGTATCCTTTCCTCACCATCCCAGTTTGCTTCTTGAGTGTGAGATTTGACAAGACGGGCCACCCGCTCGGATGTGTTGGAGTTTGAAAAAGAGGATTCTTCGAGGAAAGCGTCGACGAAGAGCTTTGCACTGCCTGTGTTTATGGCTGGTCTACTAGCGGTCTTTGAGCTGCTTGATGGGTCGCTTGTACGTTCGGCCTGAGACTGTTCCTCGGCATGAGTATCAGCACTGGAAACTTGAGACTTGTTTGCCTGGGATGAGATGAAGCGTTGACTATCCCTTGGTATTAGGATCCTAGCTTTCAGCTTTGGAGGCCTAGCCATCTTCGAGAAAGGTATGGCCGGCATAGGAACTGAGGAGAGCAAGACAATTAGGGAAGCTGTGAGAGCTTGAAGACATTCCGTAGGTAGGACGGGTGTAAGGTGTGGACACTGTGGAGAGGACGCATGACAAAGACTTTCCTTACAAGACAAATTTTGATCACGTGTAACATTTGGATTTTCGTAGGCAAGATGGCTATGACGAATCTCCTAATTACTTCAATCTCCTATTCTTCTGAAGCTAATTTCGGCTATTGTCTGCTCACATAGGACATGATGATGATCACCATTGTGGGATGTGCAATCACAACCTCGGTAGATCGTCGACACAGCGCAGTCAACCAAACAAGGACGACTCAGGACAAGGTCTCTTAACTTAGCACTGCTATCTCGCCACACGATCCTCCTTTGATGCTATCGACGCCCTGACTGACTCGTTGCTATCATAGCCTCATATTTAAGGCTTACCGGAGGTACTGCTGCTGTGTCACTTCAACTGAGGTCGAGGCTAATGTCGACATTCCGGGTGGAGAGTAACCGAAGATATTAATAAACTTTCTGCTGGCTGGGATACATGTGTGTAAAGTTTTGCTTGGCTGGTGTCTTTTCAGGTCATAACTGGGATTACTGCTATTCCCATGTGGAGTCAGAGGAGCCTACAAGTGTATTTCACAGATGCACACGGCTCTTTAGGCGGACGTTCCGATGTGAAAATGTGCAGGTAGAAACAGTGTTTCCTAGATTGTTCTCCGCCTGAGCACTCATTTTGACAAAAAAGACCTCTGGAATTACGAAAAGCTTACCGATGGGTGCCTAGCAACGCCTTTTAATCGTCCTACAGTCTGCACTGCGGGGAAGACGATTAAGCTACCAGAGGGCCCATTATGCCCTTCAGCTACAACCCATGTCGCGTTGACAGTGCTGAATCGTGGATTTGCCGATCTGTTGAGGTCTTGCATCTGCCTCGGGTGGTTACCTAATGATGTGCGGAGCGACATCCCATCAGCACTGAATCTCAAGCCGTTCGTATCGCGACTCTCAAATGGGTAGGCTCATATCCTCATTTTACTCCGGGGATCAGACTGAATAAGCCAGTAATTAAATGTAGCTTTCCACCTGCTCAGTCGATGACAGCACTGGGCTCAATTATGAGGAAGCATACCAAACCATTATACATATCGAGAATTTGTAAAATTCTTCTCACCGAGCAGCTTCTACGACCTGATGGTGTTGCGGGTTTGTTCTCGTCTGTCTTCGGCGAGGATGTTTCTTCTTCAGAAGCTCCTCTAGAGAAACTTCAGTCAACTTCAGATGTTCTCAATGCTCTATCCCGTAACTTTCCACCCGAGGTTCGTTTGCACACCTTCACAACAATGACCAGGGAATTATATCGAAAGTTCAACTAACGTATCATTACGTTGTATTACAGCAATACTACCCGATAATGATCCCACGTCTATTGCACCTCTTAAGCCCGAGTATGGACAATATAACACCCTCATCTCATAGGCGTGCTGCTGCATTTGCATTGTCGCGAATGTTGACGACACACAAAGACGAAGATGACAAAGCCAGACCCAATATTCAGCAAAGCGTCATAAAATGGTGTTTACTAGACTCCTTCCAGCCTGTCTCGCGCCCACCATCCGTTGCTATCTCCTTGGCCGAGGTAAAGAAGGGCGATTCACCCACATTTTCGTCAGAAGATCAATTATCAAAGGCTCAGTCAATTACCAAGAATGCTCTCGTGCTACCACCCTCTCAAGCGGTGCCAATGCTCTCAACGATCCTCATGAACACAGACCCATCGCCAGAACTAATCGACGTCCTTCTACAGCCCATCACGCCTCAGCTATATGCACTTCTGGAATACTACCGCCTGAGCCGAATAGCTGACCCGGTGATGCGCTCGACGATTGAGGGTCTGTTGAATATCTGGGCACGAACGGCTGAAAAGCGTGAGGTCGTAGACGCACTGTGGAAGATTGTTGAGGGTAATGGTGGAGAATGGGGCGTCGACAATAATGCCGAGCTGCGTGTTTTTCGAAGGTAGGCCCATGACAGTTCTTCAACATCAGCTGTTTTCTCATGGGTAGTAGATCGGCATCACTCCCTTCACTCTCCCTAACTCAGCTTGCCGACTTGCAAGAAGGAAAGCTTGAGATGGAGGGAGACGAAGAGAATAACCCACTAAACCTGAACCCGCATCCTCTGCACTTCGCTAAATTCCTCAAATCACTAAAGAGGGAAGACGTAGCATCCGCACTCTACCTGCGTATCCTCGACACGCACGTTAAGCTAGATGACAAGGGCAACCCACTGCGGTATGATTGCCTTTCATCCTGCTGCTGCCCAGAACCAGACTTATTCGAGATACCAGAAAGTTGCTGCTCTTCCAGCTCAGCAATGAAAATCTCCGAGCAAGTTGGCGCAGATGCTCCAGC